GCTCTGCTCGCCGGATGCGACTACACAATGCAGCCAGGTGGGAGCTGCATGGACTTGTGCAACTGGAGCTTATGTGCCGCCCGGACTGGAGGTTTGTAGGACACATGAAGTTGGCCTCCTTGGCCTCTGGACGGCTGGTGGTTGCCTGTGACTGTTTGCCAGTGCAATGTGGAAGTCATGAACCTTGCCACTTTGCCTGCAATCGGTTGCGCTACCGGAGATGAGATGCGAGCGGCAATCACTGCAGCTCCTCATTCGATCTGATTATGTGTGTTTACTGATTGCTCAGCATGCGAGTCTGTATATACGCAGTCACTGTACACGGCGCGTATGTTGGAGCGGGCATGGCTTATTTTAAAACAGCCATGTGGGGTGCAGTCTTGTAGTTTGCCTCCCCCGGCCCCTGGAGGAATAGGCTCAGGACTTTGAATGTGTGTGTAGTTGCCGGTTTCTACGCGTTCCGCTGCACTTAGTAAAACCCGTGTTCTTGTCCTTTAGCTCTTAGCGCTTTGGTTGAATGCCGGAGGCCAGTCAAAAACTGCTGTCTGTGGCCGCATGCACGTTTGTTTTTCTGAAAGAAGTTCGACAGAGACAGCTTTTCCGTCGCTGGGGTCCATCTCTCTCGACGTCTTTCAGTGCAGATTTCTGCGCCGTGTGCTGCTTGCACATGAGCGCATACTGCTTTCTGAATTCATACCTTGCAATAGGCACGTCGCTTCGACGTTGAGCCTTTCGGAAGAAAAAAAGATGTGTATATGTATATGTGTATATGTATATGTATGTATAATGATATACACATCCATCCAGCCATCCATCCATCCCTCCATCGATCCATCCACCCATGCATGTATGCAAATATCTGCGTATGTGAGCATATCTCAACACATATATCTCTACATCTATCTATCGATCTATATAGTTATCTACCTACCTATCTATCTATCTAGATCTATCTAGATCTATCTATATCTATCTATATCTATCTATATCTATCTATATCTATCTATCTATATCTATCTATCTATCTATCTAGCTCTATCCATCTATCTGTCTACCCTCCTTTCTAGCTATTTATCGATCTAACTATCTATCTGTCTATCTGACTATCTGTCTATCTATCTATCGATCTACCTATCTATCCATCTATCTATCTATCTATCTACATCTACATCTATGTGTCTGTATATAGATATATATGCATATGTTTTTGTGCACAGTGCATGCGGGGATACGCATCAATTGTAAATATGGCTTGTCGATTGAAGTCCTCAACTCTGACCCTGCCTGCCGTGCATCCTGGTACTTTTTGCCATCTCTCCTTCTGGGCTCAGTAGCTAAGACGACAAACCTCTAACACCGGGGCAGATGCCCGAATCACCACCAGGCGCCGCTGGAACTTGAGCACGTCCTTCTCACTGATATGACTCACTCTAAGTGCGACTGCAAGGTCCTTCCTTGCTTGACCTCCGGCTTCGACCAGCATTCTCTCGACCGTGGCGACGTCCTCCTCGCACACCTATTGATTTCAACCCAGGCCTCGCGCCCGGACTCGACGGCTTTGTGCTCTCTTTTCCAAGAGGGCGGGCCCACCATCGAGCTGCAGATGCCTGCGGAAAAAAGAACCATCACCGCCTGTTAGGCAAAAGGCCTCTTGTAACAAGGAGAGGAGCCCCCAGGAAAGACCACCAAGGACCAAGCGACTGGAGATCTGTTGCCGGTTTGATTTGGGCACCAACTTGCGCAAACCCCGCTCCTGCACCCTTGGCAGACCCTGAAGCATCTCTTCAAGATGGCTGCCGGAAACAACATCACCAGACACTGTGGTCAGAGCCACGATGAATAGCAAACGATGGTTCATACCGGCTTCGCCCATGTCCTTGTGCGTGATCACATGTCGAACCAACTCTAGGAAGTCTTCCGGCAGCTCACGCCCAGTGACCATAAAAGAGAGCTGCCGCGCTCGCAAAGTGTCCGGATCGTCATGGTCGTTCCACAACCACCGGCGGACTTTTCCTGCTGTCAGCGGCTCCTGTTTCTCCGTGAGCTTCACTTTCTCAACGTCTGTCATTCACCCAGGCGCTCGCCACCAAGGTGGTCCAGTAACTCCTGGCTGAGCTTTTGCCGGCATTCCTTGATCTGCTCCTCCTTTGAAGCATGCTCATACTTCTGCTCCATGCCTTCCATGCGCGGACGCCGACATTCATGAGCTTCTTTTTCGCCACTGGCGATCTCTAGCGCGAGCTTCCAGGCTTGTTGAGGGCAGCCACGGAAACCCCCTTCCAAGACGACTTGCTGGAATCCAAGATCCCGGCCCAGTCTTCGTCCTCCCAACTGTCGCCTCAGGGCCCCCAGAAGAGCCTTGCCACACGCGCGAGCCAAGCCTTGCTCAAGTCGTGCACCGGCCTGCTCCTCCCTCCACCCGTGTACATCACAAAGTCGGCAGGCTCGCAGCTGGTGAAGGCCCGCTGACGTCGCAGGAGATTTAACATCTATGTTTGTGTAGAGTAGGGGCCAGTCTGTAGTTTACTGCCCCGAGCTGTGTGGCAATGGCTTTTTCGCGAAGCAAAGCGCAGTGCTGAATCTGGATTCGTCCGACAATGTACTGGCCCTTACTCTACAGGAGTGGCTCGAACTCCATGTTCGTGAAGGCCGCTTTGTCAGCAGGGTCGGACAGTCTGAAGACGTCTCCCTCCTCGAAGTCGCTGCTCTTCCAGGACACTTCTGGCTTGGCCATCACAAGGCAGGCTCGCAGCTGGTGAAGGCCCGCTGACGTCGCAGGAGATTTAACGTCTGACTGGAGAGGTGGCCATCGCAAGAAAGCTCGAAAGGGCCATGCCGTGGCCAGGGAGCCATCAACGCCATCAGCCGGCCAGCCTTTCATTTCATTGCAGAGTTCCCCAGCCAAAGGAGCCAGATCGCCAGGTGGCACCATGGATGTAAGGCCGCATGTAAGCATGAGTCATACTGCTTTAAGAAGAGCTCAGCATCAGCAAGCTCCCTGAGCAGGACAGCTACAACCTCTCGCCAGAGAGGCTTCTTGCCCAAACAGCCTGAGCCCAGGAATCTTCCTGACCGGTCACAGCCTTCACCGTCATCCCGCAATAAGCCTCCAAAACTACATCCAAGACTCCAAAATTGGTACTGGTACTTCATTGCCATAGCCAGAACACGCTCATGATCATCTCTGCAAAGGCCCCCCGAACTCGCGCCTGATCGAGCTGCGCCGCCAGGTCGGAGCGCTCGGCGGCAAGCTCTGAAACCTGCGGGCATCCAGTCTTATACTCACACTTGCCGCAAGCATTGACTACATTCAGGCTTCACAAAGTTTTCTCTCGAGCTTGATGTGTAGGCATCTAGTCTAGACTGAGCGAGACAGAGAATCGGGATTGAGGAATCGGTGCGAGGGCAACTGCTTCTGGTCACCTGCAGCTGCATCGCATTGTAGCGCTCCCGCAGCTGGGCATTCTCCTGCTCCATCTCCTGCGGACAAGCTTGCTCAGGGTCTACCACGCATCTGCGCCGCGCCCGCAGGGGTACTCAGAGAGGCGGAGTTGGCACTTGGCATTGAAGCCTGCGGCCCCGCGCTCCTGCAGTTTAGCTGCCGTCGCCAGGTCGGATGGAGGCCCCAGGGGAGACGGCGGTGGAGGAACGGCCTGAAGAGGACGGCAGTTGCAGAGGCCGTGTGCTCTGGAACTCCGACTTTCATGCGCCAGCTAAACCCACAGCATGGGACCCTCTGCAAGATCCACCCGATCCGACAGCAAGATCTCAGAGATCCCCACTTTCAACATCCAGCCGCCGCAAGGCCACGATTCCGATTCCAAGGATGGCACTGAGTTCAGAGAGGGAAGGTTTCCTCTCTTTCCGACCGTCGCCGGCACCTGCCGCGTCGTGAAGCCAAAGGTTGTGATAGCTTTCGACAGCCTCGCGGTCTGGTATTTTCGTAGTCTGTTGGTTAAGTTCGGTGTTAGCGAGCCGTCTGACTCGGGCTTCGAAGTGGTGGAGACTTCACCAACTGAAATGACCTAACACTGCCAGTTGCTTCTGCAGAAGCTGTCGCCCGCTACATGCAAAGGACAGCAGAGAAGCTCAAAACAAAGCCAAGGAAGCAAAGCCAGACGTCGCCATGGCTGCGATGGAGTCGATGGAGTTCCTCACAACTCATTGAGGGGCGCATACCCGGAGTCATGACGTAACAAGGACTAACGGTCTAACGGATGACGAAATGCAATCAATCAGCGTTCCCGGCAGACCCTTCCATCATCCGAGCCGACGCAGCCTAAGCCTAAACCTTAAACCAGAAATCACCATTCCATAAACCTCAAACCGGAAAGACTCCCAAAAAACAATAAGCCCCTAGACCCTATACCCCTCCATCTAAGGCTTCGGCTGATCCTCGATTGCGGACAGGTCAGCGTCGATGGGAACCCCGGTGATCTCTGCCTGGTTGTTGGCTCTTCCGGCACAGGCATTCGCCTTCTTCGCTTGGACCCTGCAACTCGCTGCCTTGCTCGATCTAGTGCTACGGTGCCTGAGAAATATGGAGTCGGAACTCAACCTACAACCGAAGGGTGGGCCACTGAGCTAGTGGCCCGATGCAGCACCTGTGAGACGTAGACGGCGGAGAGGTTCACAAAGCCCTGATGATAGCGGATGAGTCAACACAGCCGGAAGGGGTTGATGTGTAAGGGACCTCAGAGTCCAATGTCCATGTGTTGTAGACTAATACCTGCATGTTGACTGTAAGTATGACTATCCTACAATTATAATTGTAACATTGTAACATCGTTGTCAGCATCGCTGTTATATGCTTACGATACCCTTCTAGATCCTTGATGCTTAGGTCTCATCGGCTCGGCTAGGGTCTGCGAACAAATTTAGTATATAGTATCTAGCACATAGGCCACATAGGGTATAGTAAATAACCTCTTCAGGCTGCTGCTTGGCTCCGGCGCTTTTAAGGTCTACCTGAAGTGTGGGTTTCAGGGTCATGTATACAGTCTCGGGTTTGGGGTGTAGGCTCCACCAATGGCCGCCGTGCTGCTGCATCGGAGCAGGTGCGAGCTTCGGAGCAGGTTGAGGAGATGGCGGGAGAAAAGAGACTGACAAGACATCGGCAAGCAAAATCGATCAGCCAGCTGTTGTTACACGCTTGCTATGCTTCAATATCGAGGGTCGCCTCAGCCACCGGCTGCACAACTGCATGCTTTGCAGGTGGCTTGGAACAGCAACTCAAGTATTGAAATTCACGCGTGCAGGCCGAAGTACGAACAAGCACTTGAGCTCATATCCATTCGGATACGGACGGCGCGGAGAAGGCTCATCACGGTGGGTGTGCTTGTGAGAAGCCTTCCAAGATGTGATCATCTTGCTTCAAGACAGGCTGTTGTAACCATTCCTCGCGTAACCCTGCAGACTTGTCCTCGATTGTGAAAATCTGTAGTTTGGCTGGATTAAGAACACAGCCAAACTTTACTTGCAGAGCCCTCTGCCTGAGATCCCCGAAGATGTGTTTAGTAGCCACACGCGGAACCCTCCCCGGACACCGACCGGTTCGTGCAGACGGCTGTGCGGAAAAGCCCATGCGAGAGACTACGAATTAACAGCCATTTCTTGGAAAGATTCACAAGAAATATCTGACCTGAAACTTATACTTCGCGCAGGCGACGAAGCAGAAGCCTTGGGCTTGGTGTCCTAGGCGGCTAGTTTAAGTACCCGATACCTTGCTAGGCCTAGGGCTCCAAGACCCCGAACCCTTGTTCCAGGAACGAAAGCGCCGCCTCATTGCAGCAAGCGCGCTTCAACTGACACACACTCTCCGGCTGCAACATACCAGCAGCACCCTACAAAAAATCGTAGGTTCCGAAAGCAGCAGCTTCAAATGGAGAGGTGCACGTGAAAATGGAGCATGCCTAAGGCAGCTCAAACTATGTGCATGGCTTCAGGAAGCTCAGCTGTGATGGTTGCCTGCAAGCAGACAACAGCTTCTCTTGCCAGTGAGGGCAAACTCGATAAAGTGCCTTCAACCCGGCTAATTGAACACCGTGTGGGACTTGTCCCGCACCAAATGACTATAAAACACACTTTCGGTTGCAGCGACAAACACATGATTCACATGATCTTTGGTTTGTGTTCAAGGCGAAGCTGGCGAAGAACCGCCACGAGAGAAAGGCTATCACGAACACTGTAAACATCTCAGGAGAAAGTCCTTATGCCAGCGAAAACGCACCTCGACCTAGCAGATCAAGCCGAAATACCGGACGATGCCGTGCCGTGGTGGGAACACGAGTCAAGGGACTCACTCAGAAATCTCAGGGCCTGCCGACGAAGCAGACCTCCGTGAGAGATCGCCTTGATGTGGATCCTCAGACAAGGAAAAGCAGCGATAGATCACACTAGGTCAGCTTCGTTGTGCGCTTGATGTTCGGGGATTTCTGAAGCCTGCTTTGGCATTGCCGCAAATCCTTCCATGCCCGAGTGCCAACCAAGCGTCTCTGCCTTTGACACATTTAGATCCTGGGCACCAGAGAAAGAGCTGAAGGGACTCTAAGTCGATGCAATGGGCCGCGTCAACTTGGATGCTGAACTTGAACCCACAGCTTCTCTGTCTCTGTAAGGTCTCGGTCTAAAGCGCAAGTTCACTCGAGGCCCTAAGACCCAAGACTTCCAGATCGTGCCATCCAGGTGGCAAAGAAACCGTACGCATCATCGAGGCCAAAAAGCTCTGGATGCCCTTGCTGCTTGAAGCGCTTTGCGGGCGCTAACGGTTGCAGATCATGACTGGGACCAATCAAAGCAGATAGCGCGCCCAGCTACCGCTTCTGAGAAACTACAAGGCAAGAGAGGCGCGATCTGACGTGATTCCACCACCGCCACCGGAGATGATGGTCGTGAAAGGAAACTTGGGCGCCTCGGTCGAAACACCAGGATTGGAGCCTTTGCACTGGCTCGGCTCACCACACCAATTCACGTGATAAATCTGAGCAGACCTTTGAAATGTGACATTTCCTGACTCCAGCTTTCACAAGCCTTGAGAGATTCAGTGACGAATTCAAGCCTAAGATGAGC